TAGTCTGGATGCGATGTAAACACACACACATGGAAAATATATTTTAATATAAGCGTTTGGGGGACAAAAAGTTAACTCTCACCTGGCTATGTAAGCAACCCAGACCAGGAAATCAGGTCTGGAAAAGTGGGAATTTACTCCACCATTTTGTGTTTCATAGCCACCCATCACGTACAGCAAGAGTGTCCTCCATCAGCTTGACATGAAGAACAATACCTTCCTGTGAAGGACACTGTCCAAAGCACCTGGGGATCCACACTGCTTCCCAATCTGCTCCTGGGGGACAAGTCAGCAACCCAGGATCCTCGCTGCCTCCAGATGCCACCCCACATCCATGAGCCTCAGCATCACTCCCCACAGAGTCTGGGGACCACAGCTCCTGAAGCCAGCAACCACCCAGCTCACTGCGAACCCCCAGCATTGCATTGAGTGACAGCAAGCATCCAGACCAGACTGACGCTGTGCTGGGGCTACAAACCCCTGTTGCTAATAGCAGCACAGCACCAAATCAGAGTCTATCTCGACATGATTTATTCCTTGATGGTGCCTCCCAAAGCCCCCATCAGTGTTTTGAAAATATCAGGCTCCTCAGAGAATATAATTTGTCAAAAATAATGAAAGCTTTGTTCCATTCATCATATAATATCTAATGTCTTTCTTCAGTCAAAGGCTCTTTCTGGTCTTGCACTAACTACTTTTTCAGTTTGCAGCAACAAGCATTGGCTAATAATAATCACTGGAGAGCTTGGAAACTGGTTTCACAAAATGTCCTCAATCTTAGTTTGTGAAGGAAGAAAAGATAGGAAAAATTAGTTGTGTTTTTTCAGTCAGGAAGAATGATGTGTGCATACCACTTTCCAGAAGGAAAAGCAGAAGCATAACTCCTTGCCTGAACTTTATGCAATATAGATAAAGGTATGTGTTTTCATGAAATACATTCAAGATGGCTGTGAGGTTGAGTTGAGTCCTGTGCCTCTGAAATGACCTGATGGCCTCCAGTAAGATGTGGCATTAGGGTAAAGGCCTGTTACAGACATGAGGTATTAGCTAAATCTGAATATACTTCTTGCTCTTTTACTATTTGATGTCTTGAGTGACCCAGAAAACATGGGATAACTCTTCTGTGGATGGTGGCGACAGGAGACCAGTGGCCATCCAAGCATTTGTGAGGGCCAGACAGAGTGCCCCAGGGCACCCGAAACACACCCAGTTACTGCTCCTTGAGTCATGATCCCCCTTCCAGCAGCTTTTAACGCCCAGGTGCCCATCCTGCTTATATCTTCAGCAGTCCTGGTCCAGCCTAGGCTTGAAGGGTGACCCCGTTGCCTTGCCTGCTGCTCAGACCCTGCTTGGCCAGGTTCCCCACT